TACATTTAAGGTTCCAGGTTCAATTCCTGGGTCGGGAGGATCCTCTAGAGAAGGAAATGGCTACCCACTCCTGTATTCTTGTCTGCAGAATCCCATGGACAGAGGAGCCTGGCAGGCTACAATCCATGGGATCGCAAGAGTCGGTCACAACTTAGCTACCAAACCACCACCAAGGTTCTTCTGGGCTTCCCTGGTGGCTCAGTGGTAAAGAATCTGCCTGCCAGTGCAGGGGACTTGGATTCAGTCTCTGGGTCAGGAAGACCCCCTGGAGAAGGAAATGGCAACCCACACCAGTATTCTTGCTTGGTAAAACCCGTGGACAAAGAAGTCTGCTGGGGTACAGTCCATGGGGTTGCAAAGAGTGGTACATGACTTAGCAACTGAGCATGCATGCAAGGTTCTTCCGTGACTTTCATGACTTGGTAACTCATTTCTTCTCTAAAAAAACCTTTTTTTTTTTTTTTTTGTATGTGGACTGTTTTTTAAAGTCTTTATTGAATTGGTTACAATATTGCTTCTGTTTCATGTTGGTTTTTTTTTTTTTTTGCCACAAGGCACATGGGGCTTCAGTTTCCTGACCAGGAATTAAACGTACATTCCCTGTGTTGGAAGTTGGAATCTTAATCATTGGGCCACCAGGGAAGTCCTAATAACTTGTTTCTTCTTATGACTGAAGACTATTCCATTGTCTGAGACATCCCCCAGTTTGTATATCCATTTACCTACTGAAGATCATCTTGGTTGCTTCCAAGTTTTGACAATTATGAATAAAGCTGCTGTAAACATTCGTATCCATAAGTTTTCAGCTCATTTGGATAAATACCTAGGGTAAAATGACATTTTAAAATATGATTTTTGAGCCTTCTTTCCCTAGAGTCAGAAGGAAAGTCGTCTTCTCCTTTGTAAATAAACCTCCAAAGACAAATCAGGAGGTGAAATAAAGCCAAAAGAGGTTGACTGTTCCCTTCATTTGGATAGATTAGATACATTGATCTGGGTGGAGACTGATATACCTACCTTTCCATTAACTAGTCATGAAACTTTTAGGCAGTTCTATTGGTTGTCACTGGAATATTTTAGAAACCTTGATGAAAGGGTATGGATAAATGCTCATTAACCAGCTTTGCCGTGAGCATTTTTCTTAGGGGTTGGGGTGGGTGTCTAGGGGATGCAACAGGTGAAAAGAAAAACTGATTTCGTTTCCCTCCTTTTGCCTAATAATTACATTTTTATACTTTCCATCCTGGTTTTGTGACATTTCCCCTGTTTTAAAAGTGGGTTTTTTTCTCTTCTATATCTTCTCTTATTTTGGGGGCTTCCCTTGTGGCTCAGACAGTAAAGAATCTGACTGCAATGCAGGAGACCCAGATTCACCCCCTGGGTCAGGAAGATCCCCTGGAGGAGGAAATGGCAACCCACTCCAGTATTCTTGCCTGGAGAATTCCATGGACAGAGGAGCCTGGTGGGCTACAGGCCATGAGGTCGCAAAGAGTCGGACACGACTGAGTGTAGTAATTACATTTATCCTTTCTACGCTGGTTTTATGACATTTCCCCTATTTTAAAAGGGGACCTTTTTTTTCTCTTCTGCATCTTCTCTTATTTTTAGCCTTTCATTTATATCCTTCTTTTAATCACTGCGGTTGGTTGTTCCTTGGTCTTTTGTGGCCCCAGAATTATCCAGCTTAGTTTTATTATTCTTGGCAGTTGCATTCTTTGACCTCACCTCTTTAAGCTGTTTTTCTTCATAATATTTGTTCTGAACCAAATTTCTCCTTTAATGCCTTCGTGTGGCCTCCATGCTTCCCAGGGAAAGAGGTTTAATTTTGCTGGAAATAAACTGTGGCCCTCTTTTAGATTAAAATAGTGCTGCTGCTTTATAATCAGTTTTCTCAGAATTCACAGTTTGGCCTGTTGTTGGCACATTGTTTTGTGAGTCCATGCAAGTGGCTGGGAATTACCATATATGCTTGAATATAAGTGTAAGACATAGTCTATCATTTTCAGGAAGGAAGAAGTGCCTTACAGAGCGTTTGCAAAGTCTCTCATAGTATGAGGCATAATCTCCATTATTTTCAACAGCAAAGTACCAGTTAACCTTGACCTGACTCACCGATGGCCTTGGAAACTCTAGAAGTCTGAGAAAACCAATGGAAAGGGAGGCGAAGACACTTTGTGTGGCTTTAATGACAGTTGCTAAAGGGATATGACTCACAGTGGTGAGGGTTTGTGAGACCACTCTAAAATCAATTCACTCAGTGGATAATTTATAGAGATTTTAAATGGGCTCTTATTATTTAAATGGCTTGGGATAATATTTCCAACAAGCATATCACATACAGGTTCGAATAGTGCTTTATCTCAAATATCCAGTCAATTGAAAGATCATGTTACACTGGAGACTCCTGCTCTTGCCTGCCACCAGTCTGAAGGAAATTGTTGCGTAAGATGTGAGGGCATGGGAACAGTGTTTCTAAAGTAATTATGTTAAGATGATAGCATATGCTCTGAAATAGGATGGTGCAGCTTCATAGATACATACTGTAAATAGTCATTTGATCATTTCATTACATTTCTAAAAATTATGTATTTGTGTTTTCCAAAAAACCTTCTGAGGGGCAGAGTCTTCCCCTTGGAAAAGTGAGGCGTATCACCTTATATGGTGGAGGGGGTGCGGTTTACCCTGCATCTGGACATAGGTGACATCTTTTAAAGACTGGTACAGTTTTTTGAGTGTATGGTTTTATTTGAATCAAAGAGCATTTGTACAATTCTCCTTCCCATTGGTGAACGCATATGGATTTGTTGTTGAATTGCTAAGTTGTGTCCTACTCTTTTGAGACCCCATGGGCTCTAGCCCGCCAGTTTCCTCTGTCCATGGAATTCCCCAGGCAAGAATACTGGAGTGGGTTGCCGTTTCCTCCTCCAGGGGATCTTCCCGACCCAGGGATTGCACTCAAGTCTCCTGCACTGCAGGCGAATTCTTTACCAGTGGGAATTCTTTACCTGGGAAGCCCGCATGTGGACTGGGGACTATCTATTTACCTTCCCCAGCTGCTCGGTTCAACACAATCTCCCTTCTCATTCAGGTATTCAGCCTTGAGGCTACAAGTCGTGGGTCAAGGATTCCAGTTCTGAAATCCAGTGGTGACTGTTTAGAGCTCACCTTTTCCTGCACTGGACTCCTTAACTCTTCTCATCTTGAAATGCTGCCCTTTCATCATTCCTATGCCAATACTTGCCTGACTGTTCCTTCTTAGCTGGCTCTGAGTGTCCTTGTTCCTGCCAGCATGTTGGCGCCTTATTTTCTCCCTCTCCCCGGGCATCTCATGTCCTTTGAAGGCTGAGCTTCCACCCATACTGAGGTTGAAAATTGGTAGTCTGTAGGCTGTATCTGCCTGTAAGGTTGGCCCACGCACTGTGGATATAATTGTGAATTTGTTGCCCACATTGAAAATCTGGGATCGAATCCAGATTTCTGGCCACTCTTGGAAGACGGGATGAGGTAGCGGTGCTGGGACCAAGTTGTAAACTCCTGTCCCCAGGAGATGGGGCACTTTGGCTCCCCGGGCCTCCAGAGTTCTAGCAAGTATTGTTGCCCTCATCTCTGCACTTCCAAGAAGTGCTATCAGTCACCATTTTTGTTTATCATGACCACACTGTTCTAGTACTCACAATAGAGATAAGAGGACAAAAACAACTCTTTTGGCTATGTCTGTATTCAGAAGTCGAAACATAAAAGCTGGACCAAGAATGCTGTGTTTCAAAACAATGGAAAAAAGCATTTTGTATATATATAGAAGGGAAGAATATGCTCACACATTTAATGTTCATGGTGTGTCTGAGCTGACAGGTTGCAGCTTAAGGTGCTCATGATCATTGACATAGATGGCTTATGCTTTCACCCATGTTTTTTTCTTCTGGAACCCCAAGTGATCTCTTGGCTAATGTAGAGTCATTGGAATTTACCAGGTTATGGAATGTGCAAAGGTCCTGGGGCACAGTGGTAAGCAAGGCAGAACGTTTTGTACCTTCAAGGGGCTTACAGTCAAGTTGCACAGAAACCACCAACCCCTCACACTCGGCATGACCTTGAGCACGTGTCTCCCTCCCACCTCTCAAGTTATCTCAGTGTCCATGATCAAAAGCCACTCGTCCTCTGATTAGCAATCTTCATTCCATCTGCAAACTTAATTCTCTTTGGTTATGTAATGTTCACATATCTAAGGATTAGAACCCTGACATTTTTGGGGTCTATTTTTCTGTCTACCGTAATAGCTGCTTGCTGAATAGTTTATCATCCCTTGCCAATTTGTGGATGACTATTGGGCTTCCTTGGTGGCTCAGCTGGTAGAGAATCCACCTACAGTGTGAGAGGCCTGGGTTCAATCTCTGGTTTGGGAAGACCTTCTGGAGAAGGGAAAGGCTGCTCACTCCAATATTCTGGCCTGGAGAATTCCACGGACTGTTTAGTCCATGGGGTCGCAGAGTCAGACGTGACAGAGTGACTTTCACTTCACTTGGGCTCCAAGCATGGAGGTTGTAGGACTGATAATCATGTTTTCAATTAAAAGGAAAAAAAAGAAGCTGTTTGCCTAAATCTTCCTTACTCTGGCTGGTTTTGCTCACCGTTTCACAAAAACATGGTCACATTTGTGTTTTCTCGACTGTCCTAGCAGTGCCCGTCTTGAATGATGTCTTCTACTGTCTCCTGGTTTTATTAACTTCCAAGTTTCAGCTCTGGCCCACTTCTTCCAGAAACTGATTTGTTATGCCCTCCTTGCTCTCTTTCTTCCCTGAAATCCTTTAGCTTTTTAACTCTGTGGCAATTACGTATATCATGTTCCATAAATATTTACTTATTGATTGTGTGAGTTTTGGCAGCAAGCCTTATGGGTTGGTTCAAAGTGGCTCTCAACAGTTCATTTCCCTTCGGAAGCAAAATGTTATTCCATGTTTCAAGTGCTTATCTGAAATGTTGTATGGTTTTGTTTATTTCAGAGACTTGAAGATAGAAAACTTGCTGCTAGATGAAGACAATAATATCAAGCTGATAGGTATGACTTTTTTTTTTTAAAGCAAGATTATCCTTTAAGTGCTGTGTTGTCAATTCTCAGTTATTTATTTCTGACTTTGAAAATTACCATGGTCTATTTCTAATCCCCAGACAATACTTCTAGTTCATCTCCTTTTACCTGCAACATCTAAGCATGGTTTTGAATAATTTAAACATAAAACATGTTCTTAGGATTCTTCAAACTTTTGCTTCTCTGTTAATTCAGATGGAGTTGAACTTGTGGAGGGGTTCTTTTTACTTGAATTCACCTGAAAGCTTCTTAAGAAAAGGGGAACATAGTTTTGTTCAAAAATGCTGCTCTTAGCTTGGCCATGCTTTATTCCACTTTTCAGTGAATGTAGGGGCACTGAAATAAGAGGGAATGCAGCTTACCTTCTCTTTTTAATGTCTTTGCTTTAGCCCTGCCTGTAGCACACGGATGATGGTACAGAGTGAAACAGAGGGCTGCTTTAGAGGCCTGTGCCAGTCAGGAGGAAATTCCAGGATGGAGTGAATCATAGCTGATTCACCACTAAGGGTTCATAAGCAAATTCACCTCATGGCTTCTTCTCCAGAAATATTCTACTTTTGTTTACCTGTGTGGTTGCTCTTGGCAAAAATATAGGGCATCATGTTTCCACCCAGATATCAGCCTCATCTTTTACTCCTTTCTTTCTTTTCCCACCCCAAGTACAAGTAATTTCTTCTGCCTCGAGGGCTTGAAAAGACTTTCTATTAGAAGAAAAGAGAAGAATCAACAGAACTTTGTGACTTTTAGCTTTTGTACCCAAGAAGGAAATTTTGTTTGGCAAATACTGAAAACCATCTCCAGACTCTAAAATACATCATTCAAATGACTGGTTATATTCCTTGGGATCCCAGATGGCTTCCAACCCAATAATAGGCAAGAGGCTGCCAGGGACTCCAGGCCTCTTGGCTGGGTGATTAAGCATCATTGACAGGTGTTGATAAGTACACCCATTATTGGGACATTAACAATTAAGAGGAAACTGATCTCCCCCCCCCCGCCCCAGGGATTTTATAGGATGTATTCGGTTTTTATTTATTTATTTTAATTGGAGGATAATTACAATATTGTGGTTCTTGCCACAGATCAAGAGGAATTGGCCATAGGTGTACAGGTGTCCCCTGCATCTTGAGCCCCCCACCCCCACCCCACCCAATCCCTCCAGCTTGTCACAGAGGACCAGCTTTGGGTGCCCTGCGTCACACATCAAACTTGTACTGGTTATCTGTTTTACATCTGGTAATGTATATGTTTCAGTGCTGTTCTCTCAAATCAGCCCACCCTCTCCTTCTCCCACTGAGTCCAAAAGTCTGTTCTTTCCATCTGCGTCTTCTTTGCTGCCCTGCATGTAGCATTGTCGGTACCATCTTTCTAGATTCCACATAATATGCATTAATATACGGTATTTGTCCTTCTCTTTCTGACTCACTTCACTCTGTATAATAGGTGCTAGGTTCATCCACCTCGTTAGAACTGACTCAAATGCGTTAGGATGTATTCTTAGCAGATTCTTGGATGATTCAGATCAGATTGTTTTACTATTGCACTTGAGCTGTCCTGAGAGCCAGGTGCCGCAGCCTTAAACAAGGCAGACTCTGAAATGTCTGCAGGATGTCTTTTTGCTCCTGGTTTCCGAGGTCTGCAGCATTAGACAAAGCCACGTCCTGGCGGGGGTGGGGGGCGAGGAATGGAGGAAAGGAGATTTCTTTGTAGGTTCCCTGGCGGGGTGACCTGGAACTTGTCTTTGGAAAATGTGTGGGGAACAGTCACAGAGTCGCCCTAAAGCTGCAGAGTGTGTAAGAGAGCAGGCGGTGTGAAGGCTGGATGTCCATTATAGCATGAATTAGAATATTTCACTTCCCCTGCACGTTGTCTATGCTGAGGCTGGTGATTCCAGCAAAGTGCAGACCCCCACCAAGTGGTCTCCTTACCCACCCAGCACCCCCCACGCTGCTTCTGCCCTTCACTTCGCCTCTCTCTCTGCCCCTGTGTGTGTTTTCTCTTCTTTCTCTTCAAGCGATAGCCCTAGACAATCATCGCTAAGAGTGGAGAGTGTTGAAAAGCACAGACCTTTCCATTGCTGAGAAGATTCTGGAAGAACCAGTCTCTGTAAATAGTGGGTGCATTTGCAAGTAGCTCACACTTTGGCTGGGCTTCCCCAGTAGCTAAGTGGTAAAGAATCTGGCTGCAATGCAGGAGATGCAGGTTCGATCCCTGGGTTGGGAAGGTCCCCTGCAGAAGAAAGTGGCAACCCACTCCAGTATTCTTGCCTGGAAAGTCCCATGGATGGAGGAGCCCGTGGGATAGCACACACCTGGCCGAGTGAACACACACACACACACACACACACACACACACATTGGCCACGTGATAAACCCTCTTAGAGGAGACCTGTACAAATAAGATGGAGACACGGTAGACCTACATTAGAGCCCACGGGTCCCTTGAGATGGGTGGGGGGACCTTTAGATCCCAGGAACCATTTTAGGCAGCATCATCGCCTCTCAGCTTGGCAGCTTCTGAACTGGTACCCAGGCAGGCATCGTAGCTCATCTGGACACAATGGGCCATGTCAGAAACCAGGTGTCAGGAACCAGAATTCCCGAAACAGTTGCAAAGGAGGCTTTGATAACTGGATGTCCCTTTGTTAGAACTTCTCACTTGGCACCCTATTTTCTCCTGACCCGCTAAAACCAAAGAGCCCTAACATACATGCTAATGGAAAGAGATATTATACCATCCCAGAGGGCAACTGGGAACTGCATTTTGTTTAGCAGAATCTGCATTTCCTCATTTTTTTCATACAGGGTAGGTGGGAAGAGAGGGGAGATGATTGAGGCAAAGAAAGCCTGGTGTCTTAGGTGGTTTGTTGCTTCTGAGTTGGGCAATTTGGATCAAACGTCTCTATAACTGCCCTCTTGCAACTTGAAAGCCCTTTGAACCTTTTCTTCAAAGGAATTACCTAGTTGTTTATTCAAAGGTTGATTATAGCTATTACCATTTTCTCTTAACAGTTTCTCTTTCTTTGAAATAATCTGATTTAAATAAATTTACTTAAGCCATGTAAGCCACGGTTCAAGTTAACTAGAATTAGCTGGAAAAAGATTTGATTTAATTAGGGTCCTTTGCCCCCTTTTAAAAAAAGAAAGCAGTCTGACGTTTTTAGTTTAGTATAATCTTAAAGGGTAACAGCCACAACTTAAAACAGTTTTGCACGTCACTTTTCCAAGACAGCGTTTGTTTGGGTGTTTTTTGAGATTCATTTCATAACTCTCAGAAAACTGAGTGATAATTGGCTTATGTGTATACCAAATCTAATTGGGGCAGACCCGTGTGACATTACTGGGAGGCGAACTTCTCCCTAGTTTCACAATTCTAATTATAGGCATATGTGTGAAGCTTTAATAATTACAGTTGTGCATGTGAAACACACTAGTTATTTCTCCACAATATATTTTACATTAAACCCTTTTGGCTAGGTCTCCATAAGTCACTTAAAATGTAGATTTTATCTTCTCTGTCCCACAGACCTCTGCTCATTTATCCTTTTGAAAGTGTGCTTAAGACAAGGCAAGACGCCAGTGTTCACAAGCTTGCCTGGGAGCAAGTGAGGAATCTGGTCTCTTATTTCCCCCTTCCCCATCCCTGCCCTTTTTTAAGATCAAGCACTTAGCTGTAGCCCCAAATCAAGAGCTGAGGGAGTAACCTGAAGGAGTTAATGGAACCCTTGGAGATTAGGAAGTGAGTTTTCGTGTATGGGTTCTCAGGAGACTGGGCCTCTAACATGACTGTTTATGAAATTATTCTTAAAATGTTGGCCCATTTAATATGTTTATTCCATGGTGCTATCTCTCCATCTTACCATAGTGAGTGCTCTGTACGCATTGATTGTCTCCTTAATTTTCCTTTGGGAAAATTTTTCTTTTTTGAGATTTTTTTTTTATTTTATGTGGACCATTTTTTTAAGTCTCTATTGAATTTGTCGCCCTGCCGGTGGTGGTGGTTTCGTCGCTAACACGTGTCCGACTCTTGCGATCCCGTGGACAGTGTTGCTTTCTGTTTTATGCTTTGGTGTTTCAGCCACAAGGCATGTGGTCCCTGACCCGGGATTGAACGCGCAGCCCCTGTGCTGGAAGGGGAAGTCTCAACCACTGACCACCAGCGAATTCTAAATGGCCATTCAACTGAAAGCTCAGAATCATTTTTCTACTTCTGACCCACCTCCCAGTTTTCCCAGCTTCACTGATACTGCAGGGTAGGGCCTGATAGCAGGGGCCCTCAGAGTCTCTGGAAGAGATCTCCTCCTAAAACATGAATCCAAGACAGCCCTGCTGAAGGGGCCTGCTGGTGCAAGCTGGGCTGAAGGGAAAGCAAACAGGGGCCCCTGTCTGTGAGGGCAGGAGTGGATGAGTAGGGAGCAGAGAAGACTGGAGGAGAGAGGTTAAGAGAGAGAAAACAGAACTCTCCCAAACAAAAGAAGAACAGGCAGCGCTCCTGCTGGGTTTGCCCATCCCGATTTGGGTTCTGATTTTTCATTGCAAGCTTCAGTTGAAGAGTTTGGGTGACCTTCAGAGCTTTGATGTGTTTTCTGCCTGGATGAGGTTCTATTTAGAAATGCTCTTGCATTGTACAGCTTAACCCAACGATCATAGGGGGGATGTTTGTGGCGCATCTTGACCCGTGGTGTGTGAGTAACTTCATGGACTCACAACTCTGCCTTTCCGGCCCCTACTGGGTTTTTTCTTTTGTGAGCTTGCCTCTAGCTTCCACAAGAGCCATGGCTTTGCAGGTGGAGACGTGTTAGCGTGAAGGAAAAAACGAAGTTAGATGTATGTCCTAGCAGTTGAGAAAGTGCAAGGGTTTTTTTCCCCCAATGTGGAGTCTGTCTCTGACCATAGCCCCTTTTTGTCTGAGTCCCATGGGCTGAGTCTTCTCTTTGGGGACCAGAACCGTAAATATTTACACTGAAGTTCAAAGGAGGAGGCATGATCTTAATTCTGCACTCAACAAAGTTTGAGGAAAGATATCAGATGAGGACCAGACACTAACTGCTCACTAATGACCTGTCAGCTGCCCTATCTGTAAAATCAAAAGTAAACAGAGCACAAAAGGCATAATGGACCCAGTGTGGCTTTAGATGCGCGGATCGCGGAGTGCTTCTTTCTTCTGCCCCCTGCCTTAATCACCCAGGATCCAAGCAACGGATCACTGCTTGGATCATTGCTAGGAGTTCATTTAGTCTACTTCTCATTGCTATTTTTCTGGCTTTTTTTTCCCCCAGCCAACGCTCAGCATTGTCTAAATCACTGGGTGTATTTTTCCCCCTCTCTTCAAATCACCATATGTTGCCTCATGCATTGGAACATTTTTTTTTTTTTAAAGAGACTTGCATGCATTGAAAACATTCAGCTGAAAAAAGTCAACTCTTTAATGGGTGGGATCGCGTGTCATCTGGGGTGACACCAACACCCGCCAGAGAATATCAGTCTTCCTTCGGCTCTTCCCCCTTGGCCACTTGGAAGCCAGCAGGCTGACTCCAAGGACTGTTGGCTCGTTTTCTCCTCCTGCCTTAGTCCTCGAAAGCAAGCAAGCCTGTCTTGTTTTCCTGGATGACTCATAACCTAAGAGTTGATGAAAATATGTTTTGGTTCAGCATACTTTTTAGCTCTCGCTGGATTTGATTGTGAGGCCCTGCTAGAAAATATTTCCAGTTTGGCCAGGGAACCACTGCCTGACATTCCTCTGTCTTGAGACCCATATCCAAAGGTTACAGTTCACAGCTGCTGGGTTTCCTGGTGGATGTGAAATGATGTGTTAGCCCCAGAGAATGTTTCCTTTCCTGCTGCCTCCCCCCGACCTCCCTCCTTGTTGGCCACAGTTTTCTAATTCCGAGCTGGTTCTGTCCTCTTGCAGACTTTGGTTTGAGCAACTGTGCAGGGATCCTGGGCCATTCCGACCCATTCAGCACGCAGTGTGGCAGTCCTGCGTACGCCGCTCCCGAACTCCTTGCCAGGAAGAAATACGGCCCTAAAATCGATGTCTGGTCCATGTGAGTTACTGAGCTTCTAAAACGGCCCTCTAATGACCTGTCTCCCTCTCGCTGTCTCCACGGCCCCTTTCTGATGAAATAACCTTTGCGTGTTTAATGAGCATGAATGATCAGCCCTGGGATATATACACAGTGATTCTCTAGGATCCCACTTTCCACCGCTGTTCTTTCTATCATTTTTCCACCAACTGCCCCAAGAGGCCCTAAATTTAAATTCAACAAGGTGCAGGGAGGAGAAGAAAACAGCCGAGCACTCGCCAAGATGATCTTTGGTTTCATGAGTCACTCGTGTCCTTCCGCTGCTTTCCATCAGCGTCAGCGTAAATCCCAGCCTCGGCCCTGGCCCCGCACCTCGCGCGGGCCTGCCCACCTCTCCTGCCTCTTCACCCACTGCCCTCCACCCCCAACTGCTCAGGCTTCTTCACGCAAGCTGTCTTCTGTTTTGTCTCCCCGCCTCTGGGCTGTGCAGTCACTGCGCCTGTCACTGAAGTCCGCTGGCGTACAATATCATGTTAGTTTCAGGCGCGCAGCTCGGTGACCCGACGCTTATATGTATTATGAACCGACCCGCACAGGAAGTCCAGGAGCCATCTGTCACCGCACGGAGTTACTGCCGCGTTCCTGACTGTACTCCCTAGGCTGTGCCCTACACCTCCGTGACTAGTTTATTTTCTAACCGGAAGTCTGTACCTTTGAGTCCCCTCATCTGTCCCACCTCCCACCCCACCCCTGGCCCCGGCCAGCACTCGGTGGTGCTCTCCCCTGGAACGCTGTTTCCCAGCTCTTCGAATGGCCCGTCCAGCCCCCATGTTCCCGTATTGATCAGTGTCACCACTGTGGAGTCCATCTCTTGTTCTGGGGATGGCCAGCACATGGCATGGAGCCTGGGCTGGAGAGGGAAAATGAAGGAAGGAGGGAAGGCGGGATAGAGGGAGGAAGGAGAAGAAGGAGAGAAGGGAGGGATGGCGGGCAGGACAGTCATTTCAACCAGGTGAGCAGAGGCTGGAGAGAGTGAAAGTGTTAGTAGCTCAGTCCTGTCCAACTCTTTGCAACTCCACGGTCTGTAGCTCAGGCTTCCCAGGTGGCACTAGCGGTAAAGAACCTGCCTGCCAATGCAGGAGACGCAAGAGATATGGGTGGGATCCCTAGGTCAGGAAGATCCCCTGGAGAAGGAAATGGCAACCCACTCCAATATTCTTGCCTGGAGAATCCCATGGACAGAGGAACCTGGCGGGCTACTTGGGGGTCACAAAGAATTGGATACGACTAAGTGACTTAGCACACACATACAGACTGTAGCCTGCCAGGCTCCTCTGTCCATGGGATTCTCCAGGCAAGGATACTGAAGTGGGTAGCCGTTTCCTCCTCTAGGAGATCTTCCCCACCGAGGGATCGAACCCAGGTCTTCTGCATTGCAGGAAGATTCTTTAGTGTCTGAGCTACCAGGGAAACCCTAGAAGCTAGAGGGTCAGTGCTAGAGCCAGCAGAGAAGCAAACGGAGAAATGCGAGTGAGTGAGGGGATTGCAGGAGGTCTGGTTGGAGGTGATTCAGAGGAACCAGAGACGAAATGAGAATCAGAGGGCACCAGAATCCCCTGAACGTTCCAAGAAAGGGCCGGCTCTCCCTGGAAGCGCAGCTCAGCTCATTCAGCCAGGGGGTGAGATGTTAGTGGGGGTCAGCCTCCTCATTGCTGAGGCTCTGAGTCCGCTATTTCCTTTGATCCTCAGGACCACCTGTGAGGCCAGCTATTACCGTCTTTCACACAAACAGGAGGGTGGCTTGGTGGTTAGTGCGACTCAGGGCCACTCAGCCTGTAGGCTGGGGAGCTGTGCTTGGCCCTCAGGGCTCTTCAAGCCTCAGGCTGAGCTCCGGGTTCCTCCCACTTCTCAAGAGGATGTGAGAAGGCTGCCGAGTGCAGGGGCGTGCCTGTGTGCAGAGGGTGCCGTGTGCAGAGGGTGCCGTGTGCAGGGGGTGCCTGTGTGCAGGGGGTGCCGTGTGCAGAGGGTGCCGTGTGCAGAGGGTGCCTGTGTGCAGGGGGTGCCGTGTGCAGAGGGTGCTGTGTGCAGAGGGTGCCATCTGCAGCTGACTAGCGGGGGCCGGGGGGGGCTGCCGCATAGGGTGCCATGTGCAGAGTGTGCTGTGTGCATGGGGTGCCGTGTGCAGACAGTGCCGGGTGCAGAGGGTGCCTGTGTGCAGGGGGTGCCGTGTGCATATAGGGTGCCTGTGTACAGAGGGTGCCGTGTGTGCAGAGGGTGCCGTGTGCAGGGGGTGCCGTGTGCAGGGGGTGCCTTGTGTGCAGAGGGTGCCGTGTGCAGAGGATGCCTGTGTGCAGAGGGTGCCGTGTGCAGAGGGTGCTGTGTGCAGAGGGTGCCATCTGCAGCTGACTAGCTGGGGACCCCTGGGGCAGGGTAGTGGTAGTAGGAAGCAGAGGCAAAGGGTGCCTCCTCTTTGAGATGCCCTGGGTGATGTTAACAGCATTGCGACTCACAGACTCTTTTTATGCTGGGCCCAAATGGGCCTTAGTTTACTTCTCAACACAGCCCTCCAGGCAGCCAACCCCGGTGGATGAGAGTCAATACACAGGTGAAATCCACTCATGCCCTTGTAAGTGTCTGGCACATCATCTGCCCTAAATAGATAGTTACTTATGTATGAACAGGGGCTTCCCAGGTGGCTCCGTGGGTAAAGAGCCTGCCTGCCAGTGCAGGAGCCATAGGAGATGCGGGTTTGATTCCTCGGTCAGGAAGATCCTTTGGAGGAGGAAATGGCAACCCACTCCACTGTTCTTGCCTGTAGAATTCCATGGACAGAGGAGCCTGACAGTCTACAGTCTCTGTGGGGTTGCAAAGCGTCAGACATGACTAAGTGAGCATGCACATATGCATGTATGAATGGGTGAATATGAAAGTCTGAGTCTATAATCACTCTCTTTCCTCAGCATTTAGGGAATGTATTTATGCTAAATGGAAAGCTTTGAACGGAATAGTTTGTGTACCAAAAAACAAAACAAAAAGAAACAACAAACCCTCTCTCCAAAAAAAACCATGTGGAGACTGGGTCGTGATAGGGACTGGGCCGGGTGACACAGTGATCAAAGGGAAAGAGAGGCTGGAGAGGAGGTGACGGTTTGTTCCTGAGGTCCTGCTCTCGACGGGGCTGGACAGTACATCGTCATCACTGGTCGTCATGGTGACGAAGCTCAGCTGTGTGAGCGGGACCCTTTCTGGCCCATGACTAACAAAACAGGCATCTCCGCAAAGTCTAGAACTGCTGGTGGAGGGAAGGAAGGAAGGAAGGAGCCTGTGGCTCGTCAGAGCTGTAGGCGACCACCTGGCCTTATAACTAACTGCCTGGGGCCTCTTGTCCTGTCCTGGGAACACTAAGACGGAGACTGATTATTTATCTCGCGTGGAGAAATACAAAGGAAAATGAAATGTATGGCCACTAAGGGAGAAAGGGGGGTGGGGTGGATTGGGAGATTGGGACTGACACTTACACTCGACTGATGGGTGCCTGTGTCAGCTGTTCAGTTGCATCCGACTCTTTGTGACCCCATGGACTGTAGCCGCCAGGCTCCTCTGTCCGTGGGACTCTCCAGGCAAGAATACTGGAGTGGGCTGCCATGCCCTTCTTCAGGGAATCTTACCCACTCAGGGATCGAACCTGGGTCTCCTGCGCCTCCTGGGTTGGGAGGTGGATTCTTTACTACTCGTGCCCCGTGATGCTGTGTATGAAATGGACAACTGGTGGGGAGGCAGAGTGCAGCACGGGGCCTCTGCTTAATGCACTGTGGTGGCCTGAGTGGGAAGGAGGCCCAGGAAAGAGGGGAGGTGTGTGTGCATATGGCTGGTTCGTTTTGCTGCATGGTAGAAACTGGCGCCATGGCGTAAAGCAACTACAGTCAAATAAAAATCAACTTTTAAAAAGGAAAATGAAAATGACAGGCTGCAGAAGGATCCTAGGGTCAGTGTTAAGCTCAGACTTTGTTCCTGCCCCTTCTTCTGAGTCCCTGGACCCTGGAAAGGAATCCACGTTTAGTGACCATTTTAGATGCTCCCTTTCTTAGTTTCGGGGCCCCGGGGTTAAAATAAAGGGACCTGGTCCATTGCCACCTGCTGTGTCCACACCCATCCAGTGGCTCCATCCAGGCAGAGGTGAAGCTTCAGAAGAAACCGCAGAAGAAACAGAGATGACCCGAGACTAGCATGCCCGGACCTCGCCTCCCCCTTCCGCCCCGGCTGCCGGCAGTACTGTGTCTGGGGCAGTGGGGCCCTTCTCTGCTAGCTTCCACTCAGTTGCATTTTTCTTTTTTTTTCAAGATGATGATGTGCAACTGAAGGTCTCTTGAAAGCTCTCATCAGGCCTCATTCTAGTCATGATGCTGTCAAGCAATGTATGCGAAAGCGTTTGATAAGTGATTATGTACTTTACAGACTCTGGGCTTCAGTTGATCCTGGCAAAGCTCTGGAGGCCCATGGGGGATGTCCAGGTAGACCAGAAACCCCAGCACTCCCCCTCCCCCGAGTCCTTTGTTCTGGTCCCCAACATGGGGAGTCGGGGTGGAATAAATTCTCACCCTTGCTCAGCCACCAAGGACCGTGTTTTACTCTTTCTAGAAACTGGGTTTTCCCAGAGCAACTCTGTGTTAGCTGACTCCCTGGAACATTCCCCAGGGGGATGAGACCCCCTTGACCCACACCTCATTCACAGGGATGCTATAAACTAGGCCCTTTTTAGAAGCTGTTGATAAAGCTTAAAAAAACAATAGGAAGCTATGTGAGCCACATACTGGCTTACAAGAGATTTGTTCATTCGGCACATATTTGTGGAGCCAGGCACCGAGCCGAAATCCGAGTGCAGGACGGTCTGTCCGACTCCTGTAATGATCGTGGTTAACCCTTGCGTGCCTCCCTCCGAGTGTTGGGCAGTGTTAAAGGCTTTGCATGTTTTAGCTTATCTCATCTCGTCTGCCTCAGAGGTCTTCGGGAGAATGCTGTGT